ATGCAACTCAGTCCAGATCCAGACAGGTGACCCAAACCCCAATCTACTTTTAGATGACTGTGGATCCTGTAGGATCTTCCTGATCGTGGCTCACCAGCCCCCTTGGTCAGCAGATCCACCTTGCACAGCCAGGGGGGACTTAAGGCTGTGTCTGTGAGGAATTTGGAGAACTGGCTCCCACCACGGCTTTGCCTTCGCTGATGACTGCAGAGGATTTAATGCACAAATGAGCAGTGACTTACGACCGGGTGACAAGGCTTAAAGATGTTTCTTAATAGCAAATTAAGTGCACTGAAACTGTCAACTGATCTTGCCTTTTCCTCTCTGGTCCTCGTCTCTGGTCAAATAACTCAATTAAATTGCTTTTAACTGCAGCTGGCCACAGAGCCGTAGGATCTCTGACTTACCTTTAACAATTGGCAGCTGGCTGTTTGTTAAAAGACCTAAATGTCAGCATAAAGCTGTGTGTACTCTCACACCATAAATCTAGTTCAACTACTACAGAGATCTAGAGCCGCTTTTATTAGGGTGTATTGCAGCCCAGAGAGCAGAACCTGTTGCCAATCTGGACTGTTATGCATCTGTTTGCATTTCCCCCAGGCACTGGCATTTCCTAAAGGATTACTCTGGTATTTGTAACTCCTTATGAGAAGACGCAGAATGCCACGCTTACGCACCTTCACGACCCATGGTGTCCTCTATCTTTCCTCTACCAGTAGGTGATTTTTAATGCTGCAGGAGAAAATGCAATACAGCCCCCACACCCCTCCTCTCTGCATAGGCCTCTCCTTAAATAAATTCTCTCTCCCTAAATAACATGCTCGATTTTGTAATTCTGTCTTTGCTGCAATGAATTAGCCTTTGTCACATGGCATGAGGATGGAAGGTCCTTATTTTTATCCCCGCCACCCACTCTTTTCCCCCATTATTGTACGACTCAGTAGCATCATATTCCCCCCTGCTCAAGGCTCCCATTCCCCTGCTGTACACACACCCTCTCTCAGCAGCAAAGACAGCAAGCCAGGAACTGCTTTAGCTGCCACAGCCTTGGCAGCAAATCGGGTTGAAAGCGTAATTTGATTTTCATGTATTTATAAATGCAAAGTAATAAGAAAAGAAAAAAAAATACCACTAGTCAAATGATGCTGTAAATATAAAGTGACACTGAGCCTCGGGAAGGAAGAGAAACCTATCAAATCGCTCCCCAATCAGCCGCTCGCCAAGACAGAGCTGGGATGTTCTCCAAGGCACATTATATTCCCCAATAGCCTTGCTGTTAAACGTACCCTTGGCAACCAAAAGGGCTTTCAACATGGTTTCGCAGAGCATGAGGAAGGGAAGCTGGGAGAAAGGCCTCCTTTGTGGGAGCCAGCAAATGCCACGGCTGGGTCCTGCTGGAGGAGAATACTGTTGCCAGCACTCTCAGTAAGTGTCATTGATGCTTTTGTAGGAGCGGGGCACGGGGACGCTGCTTCGTTCCCGCTACTGGTCTAGACGGGGCTCTGAGCGCTGCATGTTAAAGCTCCCGAGGTCAGGAGCTCTCCTGAGCCAGGATCTTCCCTCTCCGCAGGCAGGGAGCATGTTAGACACCCGGGTGCGACAGCATGAAGCAGAAGCGAAGCAGCAGGGCCCCAGAAGGGATCCAGCTCGGTGGTGAGGGTTTGGGGACCTCCTCTGCACACCCAGGGAGTGTTGCAGGACCCACAGCCCACGAGGCCCTGCTACCCTCATAGGCATGAGATGGGAGGAGGAGAACGCTCAAACTACCCTCACTGACTGGAATTCAAAACAGCTGCTGCATGAAAGACGCAGACAAGCCCCAGGGAGCTCCCTCCTTCTCCCCACCTCTCCTCATTCCTGTCTGACAGCGGGCAGGCCAGAATCTGGCCTAATTGGACAAAAAGTTGCTGAAAAAAGAGTAGGAGGAAATCTGAGCAGCGATTCATCCACATCTCCTCTGTCAGGTGAGTGAGTGGACACTGATGAGGAGTGAGTGGATATCTCATGAGCTGCTGGGCACCTACAGCTCCCGATAACTAGCGGGGCAGACTCCCTTCAGGTACCACAATTTGGTCCAAAGGCAACAGATTGGGAGTGTAACTTTCACCAGGGATATGGCTCCAGTCTCATCCACGGTGCAGACAACTGGATGCATGGTAAGGGAACTGCGACCTATTGCCACCCACCTCTGCTCCTGCTCAGTCACGCTCAGCCACAGGCCACACAGGAGAATTTAGAAGCCCTCAGCGGCAGTCAGGGACATGGGCAGGAGTGTGGTGAACAGAGCAACTCAGATACCCGATGCCACGGCGCAGACAGCTGGCCACGTGTAACGACGGTCTAAAAACCATTAATCGGGGTATGGGACTGGCCAGGAGTAGATGGACAGTGACATGGGATGAGCTAGGAACGTAAATGCTCCATCAGTCGTGAAGAAGGCAAAGCCTGCTTCAGATGCCTGTCAGGAGCACACCAACGGGGGGAGACTTTGCAGGGGAAGCACAGGAACAGGGACCAACCTTGGCTGCGTAGTGGAGCGCTGTGAGTTGGAGGGCCGTCGCTCTCTCATTAACATCAACACCCAGCTCGGAGACGAGGAAGCGGATGGCTCCATCCTGGGCCGTGATGGCTGCAAGGTGCAGAGCCTGAGCGCCCAACGCGTCTACAGCTGAAGGACAGGCCTGAAGCGGCAGGAAGGAGGGAAAGAGAAAGCAATGATCAGCCTGACCAAACCTTCAAGGACAATCACCAGCCCAAGCACAGAGTCGACTCTGCCTGCCACTGCCACGATGACGGCAATGAACATGCAAGGTGTCACCAGCAGGACCAGTGCAGTTGATATACGTGCTGTCATTGGCAGACCAATGTCAGCTCTCTGCTGAGTTTGTTAAGTGATAAGCAAAACTACTGCAAAAAAGGACAACCAGGCCCACTCTCTTTTCAGCTGTAGCATGTAGTATCTCTGTTATGACAGCCTGATCCCTCCAGGACACACGGTCATACACTTTACTGGGGACTCTTCAAAGGTCAAACTTGGATTTACAAATCTGTCTGCACATTCAGGTCTTACCCAGGAATCTAAGTGCCACTGCTTATTTTTTGGTGATAATAACAGTCACAGCAATGATGTTTCAATTCTTTAAAGCAGCAAGAAACAACCCATCTCCAGGATCCTGCCTTAGCAGAGGGAGACGGGCAGGATGATCTCATGAGATCTCTTCCAGCCCTCGCCTCTCTGAGGCTCTGAATGTGAACCGCAAAGATGCAAAAGCACAAAGGCAAACACAAGTAATACACAGTGCACTCATTGCAAAGTATATAATCTTGCCTTGCTGTCTAGCAGCCTGACTTATGGTTTTATAAAACCTAGAAGGTAGCAACACTGCCATTAGTGCTTGCAATGCCAGTTTCGTGGCAGTAAGCCAGGGCATCAGAATGAGGAAACTAAATGAACTATTCCATCTTCACTGTTTGAAAATGTAAGCAAACTTTGCAAATGTCTTATACTGTAAGGGCCAGACGAGCAAAGACCTGTAAGGGCCAGACGAGCAAAGACAAGCACATAAATGTCTGCCGAAGTCAACAAGCATCTATGCATTCAAATATAAACTGGGCATGAAATTGCCTCTGCTGCCCTGCCCTGCTGGGTAAGGCGACATGCTACAGCTGAGTACATCCACCAGCTCGCTGACCTTGAAAAGCAAGGTCTCGTGTCCCCTTCCCATGCTCCTGGCCCGCTCCGTGCCATGCTGGGGGCTCAGCTGGCCAACTCAACCTGCCAACGCAGCAGAAACCTGTTCACGGGTTTTGCCGTGCTGGCTTTCTGCCAGGTCAGCAAGTCGCACCAGTTTGGCACGGCGTCCAAGAGGCACGAGAGCTGGTGCAGCGGAGAGGCCAGGGAAGGGCAAAGGAGAGAGGCACGGCCCCATCTCCGTGAGAATCAGCCATTAGGTGGGCTCCAACCATCTCACATAAACTCAGCCGCCAATAAATAATGCAGTGGTCTGGTTCTTGCAGTGCGCAATTGGCTCTAATGACATCTCTATTATGCCTCCTATGCCAGAGGAAATCAGAGATTACTGGGAGGCAGTACGGGAGCGGCAGCTGTCACGAGAGGGGAGGCCGGAGATGAGCTGCTGCTGGCGCAGCTAGACGCCTCTGCGTTACCCAGCCTCCGCGCTGCCACGAGAGCCTCCGTGCTGAGCCCCGCCGCCAAACAGCTCCTGAGTGACACAGCTGCCCCTGAAGCACTGGGCAAACCCCATCGCCTTCTGCCACTGCCTTGTGTCTCCTTTCCCCTTCCATCAGCCCTCTGAGGTGAAATCTACCCCTTGAGCCCAGTCCTGATGGTCTCATTCAATTCTTACTTGGCCACATCTCGCTTAACTCCAGGGGGAATTTGCCTGAATCGATTCTTTGCAATTTGGTTACAGTGAGCGCATGGACTGCCTTCCCTGGCAGTTCTAGGACAGGTCCTGGAGGAGGGAGAGGAGGGTTTTGGCACCTACCTGGTGTTTCTGCAGGAGCAGCCGGGCAATGTTGACATGCCCGTTCTGGATAGCATCCATAAAGGGAGTGACTCCACAGTTGTCCCTGCTGTCAGGTTTGTACTGGCACCTGAGAGAGAAGACAAAAGCCATCCCTGAGCACATTGCTGCTGGCATCTCCAAACTCCTCACTGCACTGCTTTACGTTGGTGGGACAGGAGACTATCAGCGTATTTGCTCAGAAAAGACATATACAAAACCTGTCCATAGACCATGCATAAACCTTTCTTAGTGCTTTACTGCCTGGGGTGCAGGCTTGCTGCGGTGTGCCTGCATGCTTTCTGGGTCAAAGATCTGATATTTGGCAGGCTCAGCTCACTCGAGCTGCAGGGAAATCATTTCTATTTCCCTTCCCTGAACAGAGGCTCTCTGAGCAGGGTAAGATGCGTGCAGGCCTTGCTCTGGCAGAGGGGAAAACCATACCTTCACATAGCAGTGCCACATACAAAATTAAAGCTCACAGCCCTCAGGTTAAAGCTCTGTTGAAATGAGAGAAGACTGAATCAAAATTGAAAGCCTGGCTCGAGTCACAGCGCAAAGGGGCAGGTTCGCCCTGGGCCAAGCGCAAACAGCAATTTGCAAGGACGAGTTGGCAAAAGGGAGAACTGTGGCTGGTGGTGGCTATGGCTTCCCTTCTGCTAGAGTGCTGGGGAAAGCTGGTCCAGCTCTGGCAGCAGGCAGCGCCGCTTAGGAAGGCAACGGGATCAGAATGGCTGGGCATGGGCTGATTTAAAGCCACTTCACAGCAGCCGCCTGGGAGCGGCAGCCTGAAAAATAAAAGCCCGGAGGCTCAGTCCAGCTTGGAGGAGTTGCACCCAGACCGAGCTGCCACAAAGCTGTTTTCTTGTTATCATACAGCCTCAGACACATAGCAGGCAACTGGAATGAATCAGCAGAGAGAAAGAGCCGAGTTATATAACAGGGGCTTATGTCATAGCAAAGTCGGAGCCCATCTGAGCCCATCGGGAGAGCGTGTTTGTCTGAAAAGCCCGTAACCAGCTGTGAAAAGCCAGAGGAAATGGAGACGGTCTCGGGATTGCAAGCAGGGTGGCTGCGCAGCCGGGCTTCCCGCACGGCATAAATGCCCTTTGTGTGCAGACGGCCGGAGCAAGGCCGGCGCTGGACGGGAGGCGGGGGGAGAGCGGAGAGGCAGAGTCGGCGTGTGCGCCTGTGCCTGCGCGGGCAGGGCTGCGGGCCCGCAGGCAGTGCCGAGGGGAAGCCTGCTTACCGCTCCAGGAGCAGCTCCACCACGTCGAAACGGCCGTGCATCGCTGCGAGAGAGAGGAGGCGAAAGGTAATTTATGATTTTGTGCCACCTTCTGCCTATGGTGAAACATAATCGCGTTTCTGATGTGGGAAGGAGTTCCGAGAGGTTTTAAATTCAAAGCTTCTGATTTTTTTTAATTAAAACATTGTCTCCGGATCTCAAGCCTTCTCTTCCCCGATCCTATAGGAAAATACTGGATAAAACAGAGAAAAGGCATGGCATATAGGCACCATTAGCCTCTACTTGCAGAGTGCATGCATGAGAGGGTACATGTTGCAATTAAGCTGACACAAAGATCTTTTCTCGCTGGAATTTGTTAATCCCTTAAGTGAAACGTGTGAGAAGCAAAACGAACACAAAGCCGGGAGATGGAGAATAGCTGGAAGGTATTTCCACCCCTCCTCAGCCACGCAGACTACCCAGCACTCCCATCTCATCATCCCAGTGAAGCATCCTTGCCCAGACAGTGTCTCAGAGGAAAAACAACAACAGCGTGGGGGAGATTTGAATGTCAGACACTGAAATATTCTGTCTTTTTTTACACATGGTATTACAGCAATGCATGGAGAGTCTTAATTTGGCTTTTTTTTTTTTTTGCAGGTCATTTTGCAAAACAAATGAAATAAATTAAAGAAAAAAAATCAAATCAAGCTGAGAGCTGCTATATGAGGCTATTTACTCAGTGCAATGGAAGAAGGGCCCCGGCATATATGTGTTACCAGCAAAAACCTTTGGACACAGCTGCACAATAGATGCTCTTTGGCAGTAGAGCCCGATGAGGGCTTCCCATCCTCCCTCATCTCAGCTTTTTGCTCCTGCTCCCCGCCCATTTATCACCCCTTCACCTGAGCTGATGTAAACACAGGGAGAGCCATACCCAAATGAAGGCTTTAGAAAAACCCAAGCTATCGGAAAAAAACACAAGCAACATGATTACATCCTTTAACAGCAGCAGAGACGCAACAAAGCTGCAGTGCTCAGATCCCACTGTCGCACTCCACTTCCTCTAATTACATCTCCCCCGCTCTCTTGCCTTAGGCTACAGATATACGAAGCAGCAAAGCTTGAGGAACCAACTCCAAAGAAATCGCATTGGGAGAACATTATCCATCGTCCATCGAAGGATAATTGTCCCCGGAAGCCAGCTTGACTAGTCAGGGGTTAACGTGCTCATATCCACACCCTTAAATATAAACTCACGGCGACGGCTGTTTGTCTGATGTGATTTCCCCTGGCAGCTCCAGCATCGTCTCTGGTCCCTCGTCCATGCCACCGCCTCAGGGGTTGTGTCTGTATAACATCCCCCTTGACGGAGATGTGGTGGCACCGACACCAAGAAACTCGTGCACCAAGCGGCAGCCTCCAGCATGGTCCTTGGTTAAAATTATGCTGGGGGCAAAGGTGGTTTAAACAGCTCCAGCCCTTCCTGCTGCCCACTCGCTCCTGTGCTGGCTGCCATGTGGTCCAGGCTCTAACCTGGATCAATGCAATGACCATAAACCAACCCAAACCAAAGCCAACGGAAAAAGGAGGGGATTTTCACTGATCACTCTATAGACGTGGGTTTGATGGAGGTCCCCGCGAGCGGCAGCAGCGTAACCCATGCGACATGGAGAAGAAAGGGGGATCGCCCTGTGAGCAGGATGCTGGCTTTGCCATGGGGAACATCAAACGTGGGAAGCCACCCAGAGACAGAGACACCTCTACATAGGGGTGAGAACTGGGTGCTGGATCCCACCATCACGGTACCCCCAGATCCTAAATACCATCAGGTAGAAAGGAGACTTTAAGCTCAAGCTCAAAACCACCCCTTTTCCCCACTTATAGCTCTCGCTCTGGTCCTGACCCCGTCCCCCGATCCTCAACCCCCAGATGCCAACCCAACATCCACCCCTCTGCAGCAAGAGGGCCAAGGCGGGGCTGGGGGCCCAGCTGACTGGCCAAGGCTTGGAGAAAGAAGACATGGTGCAGGGCCAAACAAGGGTCTGAGCAGGGACAGCGGAACTGCGGGTACATGCAAGTAAGCAAGGTTTACCCATTTCTCACTCAGGCAACCTGCCCCTCATTGCTAAGCCCGAAACATCCAACAACTAAATCAGCGATTTTTCATTTCCAGGTCAAGCTCAAGGACTAAGACATAGCCATTGCCCGTGGGCTTGGACTGTCACGGTTGATGAGCATAGTGTGGTGGACGGGCAACCACTGAGGTCCTGCCAAGTAACGGGAATGACAACGAAGGAGTGACATGCCCAACAGATTAATTACAGCACAGCAGAGGCCTCCTCACAATACCTCAGGTCTTTTCAGAGAGTCGATCCCAATTACGCTCTCATGAGTTTAGGTAGCTGCTCAGCCACGGGAGACACTCAGCTCAGCTCTCCTGTGGAGACACTGCCGAGCCCGAGGAAACACAGTCTAATCCCTGCTCAGTGATTGGGAACGTTTCAGAGTCAGGTCAACAACATCCTTTAGCCCCAAGGCTGCCCCACAAGATCGCCCCGACTCACCATCGCTCACCTCTCTCTCCGCTCACCCCCTCGCTGCCTTCGTCACGCACTCCCACTGCATCTCTCGAGGGCAGAGTTAAGGGGATTTAAGGACTGGGAAGACACATGTGTTACATGTACTGCCTTGCTTGCAGAGGTTTGTGGGTAACTGCACCTGATATCCTGGAAGGGCAATGAGGCATGGCAGGACAAACTTAATTCTACATTAACAGATTTTTGGGCCGTGCAACTTATTAAGTCTCAAAGAACTCAACTGAGGCATTTATTATCCTCATTTATGCATCATCCATAAATTAGGCACCCAGGTCTTAAGGATGATGGAGTGAAAGAGTCAGGAGATCAGAAATCTAAACTCTCTCTGGGTCATCATTCAGACAACTGTGTCCTCCTGCTCCCCACCATGGTTCCTCAAGCCAGTCCACTTCCTTTATATGGTCTTTTAAACCAAGGGAAAGAGCAAGGCAGAGGAATCAGACAAGGTAAGCTCCAACTCTAACATAGTGCCTACATATTCCCAATGCAGACTATCCTTTGCCCTTACAGAAACACGCTGCGTGTTTCTCACCACTCAATGCCACCTTCTTAAGAGCGTCATGAAGATAATAACACTTCTGATGCTTCTTCTGACGTTGCATCTACAGGCCCTATGGCTCTTTCAATTTGCCATAATGACCTAACCCACCAAGCATTCACACAGAGATGGATCATGTCGAGAGACGTGTCCGTTACAAAAACCAATGAGGAGACCATAAACCGCAGCGGTAAAATTGGCCATCAGCAGGCAGGTCCCAAAAGGTGCCTCTCAGCAGCTCTGCCAGTTTTAGGACTTTTAAAACACCCAGAGGCCAAGATATGTTCGGAGCCTTGCAAACTTCCCAAGGGTGATTTGCAGCTGGAAACGCTTTATACAGCAAGGAAAAGTTACAGCATCACGCCCTGAGCTGCGGGAGCTTGGGCGTGACATCTGTCACGGGAAGGCAGAGAGGTGAGCGGAAATGGACCCAAAGGTCTTGGTCCAAGGAGGCCGAAGTCAGCGGGTGATCATGAGCACTCCTGACACGGATCTGCCTCTCCCCAGGGAACACCACTGTTATTCACCGCAAAAACAGGCTTCCAACATGGGGAATAATCCAGTGCAATGGAAACTGAGGACCCTCCAACATCACAAGCTCAGTCTTTGGCACATCATTAAGAGGTATTAAGCCTAACTTTTGCTGTTTATTTATCTGAAGGCAGCTAAAATGAGGCATCTGTCCTGAGGCGAAACCCTGCAAAGACGTAGCACAGCAGTGTTCACAGACGGGAGCTATGGGGAGGTGAGTTGTCACCAGTGCTCACCACTTACCTCCCTTCCTTTAATTTTCAGTAAGTTAACTAATTTTACTGCTTCTCTGTGTTTTTTGTATCAAAATAGGTCACACTTTGCTTCTCCAAACTAAATACAAACTGAAACGCCAGCCCCATTCCGTTCTCGGCTGCCGCCACAGCCCGCTCTCACTCCTCTCTTCCCATGTGCCCAGCAACGATGGGACCCTCCTTACCCGCTGTGTGCAAGGGCGTCCTCTTTATCGTGCTCTCCGTGTCCCAGCTGCCTGGGGATACAGCCAGCAGGTACTGGAGGACATGGAGATGGCCCTCCCGGCTCGCAATGTGGAAGCAATTCCAGCCGTCCTTGTTCTTCAGCAGCGGGTTTGCTCCATGCTCCACGAGAAGTTTGATCACCTCCAGGTTTTGCCTGGTGCAAGCCATCATCAGAGGAGTCCTGAAAGAAACACAGGGCAGCTACATTAACGGGAGAGACAGTGCTGTACAGGCCTGACGGCTTTTGTTCTAACATCTGAACTTGAAGCATGATTTAAAGTCAGCTGTAGCGTCAATTGACCTGTCTGAAGTAATGTAGCTCAGCGCTAGCAGTGATCCTGTAGTGAGCTAACAGGAGGGAGAACTGATGTGCTAAAACTACTCAAAGCTAGGAGGAAACTTTGCTGGCTGAAGGCGCAAGACCTCCTCCAAGCAGAAGTCCTAGGCTTTATTGTCTCACCTGCATTCAGAGGCTTTACCCGAGGTTCACCACACATCGCATACAGATCCATGAGATTTTGCAGCATTGTTTTTTCATGCAGGTAATATGAATGTGTGCACCTCGCACAATAGTTGAGGTTGGAAGGGGCCTCTAGAGGTTGTCTAGTCCAAACCCCAGCTCAAGCAGGGTCAGCTAGAGCAGGTTGCCCAGCACTGTGTCCAGTTGGGTTTTGAATATCTACAAGGGTGGAGACTCCACAACCTGTCTGGGCAACCTGGTCCAGTGTTCAACCACTCTCCCATATGTGTTAACTGGACTTTTAGGGCCTGTTTAGCCAGGACCATTCACGCTAGCAAAGGATGAAGGGGCTGAGACACAACTCTGAAGCTGGAAATTCCTCTTCGTGTAACTAGACAAGCCTCTGGAAGCCCCAGCAATAACAGTCCGCTAAAACAAGCGGGAAAAACAGGGTGCACTTGAAATGTTGTCTTCCTGAAACCACACAGGGTCAGACGAGCTTTTCTTACCCTGGCCAGTCCTACCCCTGTCACCCAGGTGGGCATTTGTGGCTGCAGGCAGCAAATCGCCAGCGAATCACCTACCAGCCACTGATTACCCCCCTTTCAGCCTAGCAGTTCAGCCAGTTTTGAACCCATCTAACAGCCCTTTCATCCAGCCCAAATATCCTCAGCTTACTAAGGAGAAGGCTGTGAGATCAGCAGGCCAGGGCCCGTTCAGGAAGGGCCATGAACCATCACTGCCGGGCAGAAGTGGCAGATGGAGCTGGCCAGGACAGGACGATGAGCCCAGCCTGGGCAGTGAGAAAGCGTGAGCATCCTCTCTTAGGAGAGGCAGGGGGAACTCAAGCCCATCTCAGAAGGACTCTGGGCCTTCTTATTTAAAATTCCTTGGATTTGCCTGGCACCCCAGAGAAGAACCCGGCTCGTAACACTGGACAGACCCCTCTGGTCTCACTCTTACATGAAAGGCTGACTGAAGGCCTGAGTGGAGCCCATGCTCAGTCCCCTCTGCACAAAAATCCTTGGCTACTGCTTCTGGGACCCTTTGCTGTCCCTCTGCCAGTTTTAGAGGGTCCAGAGCAGGACAGCAGCCAGGCAGGTCAATGCTTTTTCTACATGGAAAGTTTACACCGTGTTACAAGAGGGATGGAAGGGAGCAAAGCCATTAATGTGACCTCAGGACAGCCTGCTGCTTTCTGTTCCTTCACTAAACACAAGCCTTGCACTTGTCAGACAAGAGCCACGGAAGCCAGAAAGAGAAAACATCCCAACCAGTAACTCATCACCTGCCAGATCTCCCCATCAGAACGGCACGTTCCCCGTCCCGCAGTTTTAGAGCTGTGCCTCGCATGGATTGCACGCGTGCTCCTGGAAAGCCAGGCCAGCGGGGTACAAATGACAAATGAACACAGTGGACAGCCCATCTCAGCCTGCCTGCAACCCCACATCTAGCAATGACCGCGTTTGCGCACGTATAACCCATGTGCTGCCTATTAAAAACATCCCAACCCGTAACTCATCATCTGCCCGCTCTCCCCACCAGCTCCTGTGGCTTGGTGGCAGAGCAGGCTCACCACTGTGTTTCTCTTCTCCAGTAACCTGTTATCCCCACATCTATCCTTCCCCACCGAGACCCAGGGACGTTGCTGGATCTGGAGCCTCCTTTGGAGGAACAAGCTAAGAGCTGTCTGGGGGTGGACGTTAGCTGAGGTTTCGCTCTCAAGGCAAACTGTGGGTCACTCAAGGTGGTGAACCCACAGTCATCTCCCACATTTGGTTTTACTCTGGTGACCAGTTTCACTGACCTCACTAGCACCAACTACATTTTCCTTAATTATCACGTCATAAAAGCGACACGATGTTAGCAACGACAGTAGGTGAACTGCTCTAAGTGAGAGGTATATTTTCCATTTCATCTGTTTATAAACTTCACCCAAACATTCAGCTCTGGGTGCATGCACAGACTGGACAGAAACCTTTGAGCTTTCACAGGAAAGACGAACAATTCTCCGTCCGATCCCTCCGAGAGGGATCACGTCCTCCTCATCAATCCACACACAACGGCTAAGAGGAGCGACAAGAAATATCCCTTATTCAGAAAAAGCTGCAGCACAAAAAAGAGAGTCCTACTGGACAAAGAATGAGGACGAATGGGCCTAGACTGCACCAAGGGAGGGAGATTTGGATTAGACATTGGGAAAAACGTTCCAGATGTAAGGACAGACGAGGGCTGAAACACAGTGCTGAGAAAGGAGATAAAATCTCCAGCAACGGAGATTTTTCAGAACAGATTAGGCACGCATCTGCTGCAGACAATAGAGATAGAAGTGATGGAGGCAGGAGCTCAAGGTTTCTTGCAGCTCCCTTTCTATAGAGCATTTTGGGTCGGTATATATTTTCAGTGCAAAGGAGACTGTCCTAGGGCTAGGTCATGCGCTAGAAAGCGTGCAGTGCTGTTTTTTATCCTCGGCCAGAAGGGTACTGCGGGAATATAACAGAAAACCAGGCTTGCAAATATGCTTGCAACCGGCTCATGAAATCTCCACATTCCTCTGCTGCCCCTGACGTCGGTATGAAGCTGGCACAGCCTGTAATTACGAGGACTGGGACGCTGCCTTAGTACTGGCATTATTTCACCTTTAATAAGGCGTCCCTGGTCTTTCATTTGATAGTGAGAAACTTCTTTCTTTTCAGCAAAGGAAAGCAGCTTCCCTCTCCAAGAGTAGGATTTTACATGCACATAAAACTTCATTAATCAGGCCTGCTGCACGTCCGTGGAACAGGATTTATCTAGTCCAATTCTCATTCACTCATCGTTTGCTTACGTGTTACCCAGATAAGGCAGACAAACACAAACCCTGAAAAAACTAGTTTTTTTGACTGTGTCGCTCAGGCCGCGGCTCCACGTTGCCACTTCCACCAGAAGCAAACCTGCCCCGAGTGGCTCTGCTTTGCTGGGAGGAAACAGAGGGATAAAATTAATTTTTACGCTCCTTGACGTCTCAGCTCAGTTTCCAGGCGCTGAATAATTGGAAAAACCGGAATCTGCTGGGCTGCCCAGCGGGCCTCCCCGCAACGGGGCGGCGGGGGGAGAGCGCCTCCACCGAAC